CGCAGCAGGCCCATATGAGAAATCCCCTCCCCCTCCCCCCATGATTTGGACTAATCACGTCCATACCCAGCCTATAATCTACCTCTCCCTAATTAATTGGAGCTAGATAATCATTTGGTTTGTTTCCCAACCCAACCGCCAAAGGCACATGCCTCAACCTTTCAGAATAATTAAATACACTTTCAATCCCAAGGCGACGAATCTTGATTCCTTTGTAACCATGTTTTCACTCTTCCTTGAGCATCTGGGTTTGACTATTGAACTTCCTGACCCACTGGAGTGGCATTTTCCTGGGTACTCCGATCAATAGACTGATCATTTTTCGATGACTCATCTTCTCACTCATCTGATGGCTCTTTTTCAAAATTGTTCCTGAATTCATCATAAAAAATACCTTTCACCATCCCCAACTTAATCAATATCTTATAACTTCTACCGTTGGTGGAGATATTGATAAAATTCAGTACGTCAAAGGGGCTCGCAACTCGTTGCTCTGCTTAGGTCATTCTTATTGAGAGATCTTCATGAATTTTCACCAGAATCCCCCATCTCGAAGCCATAATAGATAAGAAAACTTCACTCCAACAATTTAAAAGGATTCCTAACAAAGAAACCGAACAAAAGCCATGGGTAGACCCTTCTCTGAATAAATCGGTTTCAACCATTCAAACAAGAACTTAAACTCCTCAACTCTGACTTCCAACGCTTATTTTTTAGCTTCTTTCAACGGGAAAATTATGATACAAGCGTTGTTTACATAACCCCAATTAGCTAACTTCACATTGAACCCCTCATTAAGAATGATATTCTGAATAAATTCCATATCATGGAAAGGTTTAAAGATACCAGTCCATGCTAGCTTCATCCATTGTCTCTCCTCCACCGGTATGAAAACATCTAACTGACTTTTCTTAGCCTCTGATGCATTCGTGATGAAACGCCGAGGTTCATCCTATTTTTCCATCTCACCTACCAAGGAATCCTTATATGACATGCCGTCGTAAAAATTGTTGAAATAGACCCTTCTATCCATTAAGTTCCTTGATGGTTCTCTTGTACTTCAAACTGACTTTTCAGCTTCTCCACCAGTTTTGTTTTGCTGAAACCATTTTTTATTTAGCCACCCCTACCTTCACCCTTTTCTCATCGGTCATAGTGTTATTAACCTTCTCAATAGCATTAAGCCAATCATCTTTCCTCTTAAACTGAACGAAAGCAAATGTAGCATCTTTATATCTAGGCCTTCTGTTAACAAGAGGAATGAATACCCTGGTAACCTTCCCTTGATGCTTGAAAAGCTCCCATAAAGCTCTTCTAGAGACTCGTGTATTTAGATTATCTACAAACGCCATCAAGTTTGCTCCAGTGGGGAGCAAACCATCCCTGGCTGTCGTGCTTTTAAAAACAATTTGTTAATCAACCTCGTATCATCTAAATTAACACCAGAATCCTTTCTTTTTATGAGTTCCTCAACACCAAGCACATCATTATCAATTCATGCTACAGTTTATTTTTGTCTTCCTCTCTCCCCTCCAGAAAGGTTTCATAAATGACTGGTTGAATAGGCCAAGTTTTCTAGAACTCATAAAGGACACCTTGTTATGCCAAGTTTCTGTTATATATTGCTTCTCTAACATGGGTGCTTGTGTCATTAGTTGGATCGGATGCTAGTGATTCAGTATTAAAAAATATCTTGATTTAATTAGAGGAATCATTCCATTAGTCTTATACTAAGTCCTTTATACTAGAAACAATCAGTTAATCACTGCTATCAGAAACTGATAATGTCACAAGTAATATTAGGTTAGACTTTTTATCGATAAATTATCCTCATTTAAACATATTGTTTTAATTTATGTGCATAATATATCCAGAGAATCCGAAGATAATAACAAAATGTTCCCACCATTCTATCTGGGTTGCATTTATGAACGGATGGAGAGAAGTGAACATTGTCCAGTCTGTGGGAAGATAACATGTTTTCATCTAAATGATAATAGATGATTCATCAACAGTCGTGTTGTTTACATTTTATTTTTAGGGTAAACTACTCCAATGGTCACTAATGTTTGGGTATGTTTTCATTTTCACCACTGATGTTTCAAAAGTTACAAATCGGTCACTAAAGTTATCGTTTGTTACAAATTGGTCACTCGCCGTTAACAGGCATGACGGAAAACACACGTGGACTGTTAACAGCTATTAACAGGCTTACCTAGATGGTATAATTACACAAATAGTCAATGTTATTTATATATTCTTTCAATTTGATCCTAGTTTTAATAAATTAAAATATATTTATTTTTAATTCTTATAAATAATGATATATTCTTATACAAAATAATTAAATGTTTAAGTACAACGTCTTTAAAAAAAGGAAATCAAAAATTTAAAATTAGTTATAAAAACAAATTATAACAAATATGGTATTTTTTTAAACACCATACTCTTTGCTATATCTAACCATTTTGCTTTTAATCTTTTTATAATGGTAAATATAGTGATGATAGGCCAGTTATTCTCATCTATCAATTGGTACAAAATCTCATTCACATCCTCATCATCTATGGATCTTAAATCAAATATTTTTTTTTTCAAGAATGTAAATAGCATTATGTATATTTTTATTTATTAATTCTAAATATTTATGATATAAATAAGTCAAAAGTTTCATTTACTTTAAAAACACATCAAACCTAGAGTCTAAACTTCTGAATTTTTCTTATTCGAAATAATTCCATCCGAATTCGAATTAACTCAAGTAATTACAACTTAGAATGAGGTCAAGGAACTTACAGGGACATGGGAGTCTCGAGCCTTCCTCTTGGGATCAGTAGCAGAGAAAACAATGTAAACCAAAACAAATGTTCCAATAATTTGGGCACCAAACCGAAAACTTACCCAAACATTAGTGACCATTGGAATAGTTTACCCTTGTTTTTAAGAATAAAATATTAAATATTTTGTAGTGATAATTTTCTCAAACTCGATCATGTTTTAAATGTTTTATGTGAACCGCTACACATTGAATGTGATTTTGTACTGTACATCACGATAATCCCACGACTCAAATTAACTAAATCTATCTCAACTCTTCTATTAACATTAAGTTTGAACTCATATCATACCTCAAAAATTATTAAAATGCAACATCTTAATCATATTTAAAACAAATAAATTGTTATATTCAATAATTATATATTCTTTATTATACTTAAAATCTAATCGAAACGGGTATGATTATGTTTTAACTTGAGATCATCTTCAACAAATGAAAATATAAATTAAATAAAAATAATATTGTCAAAAAATTATTTAAAAAACATGATAAATATAACAATTTACGATAGCAATTAAAATCATTGATAGTTAAGAATAATATTAATATAATTGTCGGAAGTTGTTGATGATTTTGTTTCATCTTTTAATAATTTTTAGGTTGAATTTTCTAATAATTTTTAGATAGGACTGTAAGAAATAGAAGTGTAAAAACTAAAACGAAAATTTTCAAAAAATATCATTCAAAATGAAACAGTGAATTTAAGTCGTATCGTAAAACTTTGAAAGATTATAATTTTAAACGTTTTTTAATATATATATATATATATATATATATATATATATATATATATATATATATTGAAATCCATGGGCACTGGGCAGGCAATGAGTCAAAGGTGCTTTATCATTATTTTTGTCCTGAAAAATATCGTTTTAACTTTTGATTTTTTGTTTGTTTTTATAACTAATTTTAAATTTTTGATTTACTTTTTTTTAAAGCCATTGGATTTAAACATTTAATTATTTTGTATAAAAATATATCATTATTTATAAGAATTAAAAATAAATATATTTTAATTTATTAAAACTATGATCAAATTGAAAGAATATATAAATAACATGGACTGTTTGTGTAATTATACCATCCGGGTAAGCCTGTTAACAGCTGTTAATAGTCCACGTGTGTTTTCAGTCACACTTGTAAATGGCGAGTGACCAATTTGTAACAAACGATAACGTTAGTGACTGATTTGTAACTTTTAAAACATCAGTGGTTAAAACAAAAACTTACCCAAACATTAGTGACTATTGGAGTAATTTATCCTTATTTTTATCCCGCTTTAATCAGCAGTTCTTTTCTTTCTAGAAATCCGATTTTACTAGGATCTGTAAACCTTCAAGTATTAGCATCTTAATTTGCCTTTGATATGTTCTAAATTTTGTGTCTTGCTCTCTCCTTTTACAAGTATCCGCATAAGATTTTTCATTGGTTTGTTTATTAATGTCATGCACATTAATGGTTATTTGGTGTATGTAGCTTTTCAACTAATTCTCATCTAGTGGAATCGACATGCTTGGATGTTCAATCATCAATGACAACAACTTCTCTTCTAAAACAATATACACACTTTTTTGGTTTGCTAGTATATGTCATTTTAAAGATAATTTTGGGAAAACTCCTGCATTTATTTTTATTCTCCGATATTTTTTTTATTTTGTGTATTGAATGAAAGTTTTTAACTTCATAAAATCAAGAATTCGCCATCTATGCATTTTTTTTCTTAATATATTAATCTAATCATCTCTTTTCAAAGTTATGTGAGTCACCACAAGCTTCCTAAACAACCAAAATCTAGCCATATTGTTCATAATGACTGTCCTAAACTAGATGTCTAACAGGTTATGGTAAGCAGCTATGAGCCATGGAAGAATAACTTTGGTCCATTACCCAACTAGTGCAGGCAAGAACAACGGTGCTTAACTCAGTGGGCCAGTGGCGGGTCAATGTATCTTTAGGGTGGATGAGTGACCCTAAAAATTCGAATTTATTCCTCCAAAATTAGCATCCACTCACATACAAAAAATTATGGATCCTCCACTAGTAATTTAACTAGTGTCAAAGAAAATTATAAACAGATATTATCATATATTTACACAACAATAAAAAAACTAGTGTCAAAGCAAACAAGGAGCATAGTTTTAATTATAAAGCTTTTTTTTCCAGTCTTCCATTGTCATATATTTAATAGTTTAATCACAAGCCTTTTGTCTGTGTGGCTCAAGGTTTCAATAGTCTTACCAGCAAATTCAGTCACTGCTGTAGTGATTTATGTCAATGCAGGATATTATGCATATATGCTCTTGAAACCATTTTTACACATTTCCGGCATCAAGAAGCATTATGATCATTTTAACCATACTGGAGAAATTGCACCAAAAATTTAGAGCATCCATCCAGGGATAAATCCATTGACTTGCTGGGCATGACATGTTGCAGTCATCTGATCCGAAGCTACAGGATTGCAGTACCTGCAGCAGGAAACAAGATTTAAGAGATTAAGAACAGGGATATGCTTACGATACTCAAACTCTGGTGTAGGTTAAGAATATTCGATACATATATGTTGTTCTCCATAGAGGACCCGAGTTTGAATAGCTATGTATGCGGGGTATGTGCATTGTCAATAGGCTAGCTAAGAGAAATTCTGAACTAATATTACCTTATAATCACTTCGTATTATTGAAAAACAATTCTATATTTTTTTCATATATTTGGAGGGCTCACATCCATGTCCAAATATGTATTAAACAATATTAAAATGAGAAAAAAAGATGTAAAGAATAAAGGAGTTGAAATCCTACCCTATCTGCAAAGTAGGGTTGCATTCCAATGGCTGATATAACCCTATAGATTGAGCCTGCTGGTTACTGAATGATACATTTTGCACACCACCTTCCCATGATGCTCGAAACTGGTTTCTGGCATTAGTTTCTTCAAGCTGTACAACACAAGAACAGTCTTCAGCTGATGAAATGACCACTACAGGGGTTCTGAAAAACAGTCGGACTCGTCTCTTTTTCATGATATCTACAGCTTCACATTCATATTGGATCTTACGGGAATTTAAATATCAAATATTCAAGAGTGAGAGTAAAATGCTATTTTTAAGGGGTCTAGATACCGATTATTACCCCACAAAAAAAACTATTATTATTATTATTTTAGAAAAATATCAGTGATGTCCTACGTATAAGAGGTCTTTTTCCTATTCAATAAATATTATATACAGTTAAAAAGTTGATGAAAGCAAATTAATTTTACGATTTAAGAGATTAATTTACCTTCATTGACAAAGCCCTGTTAGCTTCCATTAGCATTTGTTCCTGTACTTAAGCCCGTGAGTATATTAGAAGCACAAAAAAATTTCAGAAATGCCCAAAATTCAGATGATTACCTTGTTCTGAAGATCATGAAGCTGGTCAAGCATATATTGGGTCTGCAGGAGGAGATTGAAATAAAAACAAGTGTTAGAATATGGAAAGTTAAACTTGAAAAACATTAGGGGTTAAAAAAAGGGAAATGAAGAAACAAATTAATTGTGAAAAGTTAATTATGTCATAAAATTACTATGATTAATCTTTTTCATGGGAGGAGAAAAAAACACTATTTACTGCCCTATGATATCTTTTAAAAGCCTACCAAAATGGTTACCATTTTGCATCCATGATTGATAAGTCTATACACTGTATAAGTATTGTTGATAGTGAAATTGGATTGTGACGACTTTTGATTTGGAAGAAGAGTCGAGCCCGGCTATTTGGTGGAGGGAAAATGGAGAGCAGACGAGTTGAAGGTGACACTAAACAATCATCAAGAGAGTGTTGGATCATAAACTTGATCCATTATGGGAGCCTAAACCCAAACCCAAACTAAATTGATGTCATTACTTACATCATTTAATTAAAGATGTCATTGCTTACATCATTTAATTAATGATGTCATTGCTTACATCAATTTAGTTAGGTGAGAGTTAGATATTTGTTGAATTTGTAATGGTTTAAATTAGTTTATTTGTGTGGTGTAGGATTGTTCTTGAGTAGTATAAATACCCCTTCCCATTTTAGTTTTAAGCATCAAGAAAAATTAAGAGCTTCTAAGTGAGTGAAGAAGCAAAGTCTTATAAGAGTGAGTTGTAGTTCTTGTTTTTGAGTGAGAGTACTCTTGTAATATTTGTTTGAGTTTCAATAAAAGTTGTTTGTGTGAGTGTTTTATTTCCAACAAAGTGGTATCAGAGCGAGTTGGAAAGATCGAAGGTCTCGACAAGAGGAATACGACGCCGCCAGAATTTTCTCAATCTGAGTTCTGACGCACCGCCACGCACCGCCGGAAGACTGCTGCCAGAAAATCGAGTTGACTCACCGAGTTGAGCCGATTCAGCCGAGTTGGAGCCCTTGACCGAGTTGTCCAAGTCCCTCCAAAGTTTTTTTTTCATCGTTCCGGATTCATCCGTGCAATCGGATTTTACAAAATCTCATTATATTGAGAGATATGGCAAATGGTATGGCACCATTCCAAGTTCCGACACTCAACAACAACAACTACGACAATTGGAGTATCAAAATGAAGGCACTTCTTGGATCACAAGATGTGTGGGATATCATAGAGAAAGGCTATAATGAGCCTGCGGATGATGATGTTTTTGCTACTCTTACACCAGATCAAAAGACAACTTTGAAGGATTCAAGAAAGAGAGACAAGAAGGCTCTCTACCTCATCTATCAAGCATTAGATGATGATGGTTTTGAAAAGATTTCAAGTGCAAGCTCTAGCAAGGAAGCGTGGGAGAAGCTGCAAACCTCTTACAAAGGATCCGAGCAAGTGAAGAAGGTTCGTCTCCAAACATTAAGAGGTGAATTCGAATCCTTAAACATGAAAGCATCTGAGTCTATTTCAGATTATTTCTCAAGAGTAGTAGCTGTTTCTAATCAATTAAAAAGAAATGGTGAAAAGTTAGACGATGTGAGGATAATAGAGAAGATACTCCGTTCGTTGGATCCCAAATTTGAGCACATCGTCGTGACGATTGAAGAAACTAAAGACTTGGAAGAAATGAAGATCGAACAGCTCCAAGGATCATTGCAAGCATACGAAGAGAAGCATAAAAAGAAGCATGAGTTTACTGAGCAACTCCTCAAGCTGCAACTCAAGGATATGCATGAGAGCCAACGCAATGATAGAAACCAACGTGGCCAAGACAGAGGTAGAGGCCATGGACGAGGTGGAAGTCGAGGTCGTGGACGAGGCTGGAATTACAACAATAACAATTCCAACAACAACTATGAGAAAGGAGAAAGCTCAACACGAGGCCGTGGAAGAATTAATCCAAACTCAAAGTATGACAAATCTCAAATTCGATGTTATAATTGTCAAAATTTTGGGCATTATGCTTCAGAATGTAGAGCTCCCAACAACAAAATTGAGGAGAAGGCCAATTACGTGGAGGAAAAGACAGATGGCAAAGAAACTCTTCTTCTAGCACGAAAGGAAACTGATGGTGGCCAAGCAAATTCCTGGTATCTTGACAGTGGTGCAAGCAATCACATGTGTGGAAGGAAAGACATGTTTGTGAAGCTAGACGAGTCAGTAAGTGGAAATGTTTCGTTTGGAGATGATTCCACAATAGCAGTGAAAGGGAGAGGTAACATTCTTATCCGTTTGAAAGATGGGAGACATCAATTTATTTCAAATGTCTACTATGTGCCCAATATGAAAAGTAACATTTTAAGTTTAGGGCAACTGGTAGAGAAAGGTTATGATATTCATATGAATAATTATAATCTTTCTATAAAAGATGATAAGAATAACTTCATTGCTAAAGTACCGATGTCAAAGAATAGAATGTTCTTGATCAACATACAAAATGATGTTGCAAAGTGCCTGAAAGCTTGCTACAAAGATGCATCATGGCTTTGGCATCTTCGATTTGGGCATCTCAATTTTGGAGGTCTAGAGCTATTATCTAAGAAGGAGATGGTGAAAGGACTACCTCACATCAACCATCCTGACCAACTCTGTGAAGGGTGTCTAGTCGGGAAACAATTCAGGAAAAGCTTTCCAAAGGAGTCAGAGACAAGAGCTAAGAAGCCACTTGAGCTCATCCATACCGATGTGTGTGGACCGATCAAGCCAAGTTCTCTCGGTAACAATAACTATTTTCTTCTCTTCATTGATGATTTTTCAAGAAAAACCTGGGTATATTTCTTGAAACAGAAGTCAGAAGTTTTTTGAAGTATTCAAGAAGTTCAAAGCAGCAGTGGAGAGAGAAAGCGGTAGAAAGATCAAAGCCATGAGATCCGATCGAGGTGGAGAATTTACTTCCAGGGAGTTTCAAGAGTTCTGTGAAGCAAATGGAATTCGTCGACCAATGACAGTTCCTAGATCCCCCCAGCAAAATGGTGTGGCAGAAAGAAAGAATAGAACAATCCTCGACATGGCACGAAGCATGCTCAAAAGCAAGAAACTACCCAAAGAATTTGGGCGGAAGCAGTATCGTGTGCAGTCTACTTGTCAAATCGATCTCCAACAAGAAGTGTATGGGGAAAGACACCGCAAGAGGCATGGAGTGGAAGAAAGCCTGGCATTTCCCACTTGAGAACCTTTGGAAGTATAGCCCATGTTCACGTACCAGACGAGAGAAGAACGAAGCTTGATGATAAAAGCGAGAGTTTTATCTTCATCGGCTATGATGCTAATTCGAAGGGCTACAAGTTGTACAATCCAGACAATAAGAAGTTTGTGATTAGTCGAGATGTGGTCTTCAACGAAGAAGGAGAATGGGATTTTAACTCCCATACAGATGACTTCAATTTCTTTCCTCAGTTTGAAGAAGATGAGCAGACAATGAGGGAGCAACTAGATGAATCTCAACAAGAGCTTGCAACTCCACCCACTTCACCAACATCAACCACTCAAGGAGACTCATCACCTTCATCATCGTCAAGTGGGAGTCAAAGTGAAAGAGTTGTGCAACGCACAAGAAGCCTTAGAGATCTCTATGAGGTAACTGAACGGCAAGATAATCTTACATTATTTTGTCTGTTTGCCGATTGTGAACCAGTGAGCTTTCAAGAAGCGGTACAAGAAAAGAAATGGAGAGATGCGATGGACGAAGAAATCAAGGCCATCGAGAAGAATGACACATGGGAACTTACCTCACTTCCCAAGGGACATAAGGCGATAGGTGTCAAATGGGTGTACAAAACAAAGCAAAACGCCAAAGGAGAGATTGAAAGGCACAAGGCGAGGCTAGTTGCTAAAGGCTATAGTCAAAAGGCTGGAATTGACTATGATGAGGTATTTGCTCCTGTTGCTCGATTGGAGACTATCAGACTAATCATTTCTTTGGCAGCTCAAAACAAGTGGAAGATACAACAGATGGATGTAAAGTCCGCCTTCCTAAATGGAGTTCTTGAAGAGGAACTTTACATTCAGCAACCATCAGGCTATGAAGTCAAAGGGCATGAAGACAAGGTGTTGAAGTTGAAGAAGGCTCTTTACGGGCTAAAACAAGCACCAAGGGCATGGAATAGCCGAATCGACAAGTACTTCCAAGAGAATGGCTTCAACAAATGTCCTACGAGCATGCTCTATATATCAAGATCAAAGATGAAGATATTTTGATCGTGTGCCTCTACGTGGACGATTTGATCTTCACTGGAAGCAACCCAAGCATGTTTAATGAATTCAAGGATGTGATGATGAAAGAATTCGAGATGACAGACATGGGGCTCATGGCGTACTACCTTGGCATTGAAGTTAAGCAACAAAATGATGGAATTTTCATTTCACAGGAAAGCTATGCAAAGGAGATACTGAAGAAGTTCAAGATGGAGAACTGTAAGCCAATAAGCACACCGGCAGAATACGGGATCAAGATGACCAAACATGAAGAAGGCGAAAGTGTAGATCCAACATTCTTCAAAAGTTTGGTAGGAAGTCTACGCTATCTAACTTGCACGAGACCCGATATTCTTCACGCAGTTGGATTGGTTAGTCGCTACATGGAATCCCCAACAACCACCCATTTTAAAGCCGCAAAGAGAATTCTTCGCTATCTGAAAGGTACAATTGACTTTGGCTTGTTCTATTCAGTTTCTAATGATTACAAGCTTGTTGGATATAGCGACAGTGATTGGGGTGGAGACATAGATAATCGAAGGAGCACTACTGGATTCGTATTTTTCATGGGAGATATTGCATTCACATGGATGTCAAAGAAACAACCGATTGTCACATTATCCACTTGTGAAGCGGAATATGTTGCTGCTACCTCATGTGTTTGTCATGCAATTTGGCTTAGAAATCTATTGAAGGAGATTGGTTTGATACAAGAAGAGCCTACCAAGGTTTGTGTCGACAACAAGTCAGCCATTGCCTTAGCGAAGAATCCAGTATTCCATGATCGAAGCAAGCACATTGATATTCGCTACCACTATATAAGGGAGTGTGTTGCAAGAAAAGATGTGGAAGTTGAATATGTGAAGTCACAAGATCAAGTTGCTGATATTTTTACCAAGCCACTGACCAGCGAAGACTTCTTAAGATTAAGGAACCTACTAGGGGTCACGAGATCAAGTTTAAGGGAGGGTGTTGGATCATAAACTTGATCCATTATGGGAGCCTAAACCCAAACCCAAACTAAATTGATGTCATTACTTACATCATTTAATTAAAGATGTCATTGCTTACATCATTTAATTAATGATGTCATTGCTTACATCAATTTAGTTAGGTGAGAGTTAGATATTTGTTGAATTTGTAATGGTTTAAATTAGTTTATTTGTGTGGTGTAGGATTGTTCTTGAGTAGTATAAATACCCCTTCCCATTTTAGTTTTAAGCATCAAGAAAAATTAAGAGCTTCTAAGTGAGTGAAGAAGCAAAGTCTTATAAGAGTGAGTTGTAGTTCTTGTTTTTGAGTGAGAGTACTCTTGTAATATTTGTTTGAGTTTCAATAAAAGTTGTTTGTGTGAGTGTTTTATTTCCAACAGAGAGATATAGAGAACCTAAGACAGAGAGAAAAATATCTCTTTTTGAGCATTGGATGGTGACTTATATATTGACCCTAAGTACTACTATTAGGACTAAGGTGATGACTATATGCACATTGACATGATAAATGGATTGGACTGTCAGATAGTGGATTGTAAATCACGTGGGCCACACAGTAGTCACGTTAAGACGTTATAGTTGTCTGTAGGATATATAGTTCCAAAGGATTAGAGAATTCCGAATGTATTGTTAAACTCTATAGTGAAAGCGAAAATAAATTTTTAATTAAAAAAACTACAATAAAATATCTCAAATATATAGTAAAAATTTAAAGATTTAGAAGGAGCGACCTTTCCTTTCTGTCCATGTAAACCCAGTTACCTTGGTGGAGCGAACATGTTTCAAGGATGATTCTAGCTGGTGCTCAAGCTGCTCAAGCTCCTTCGAGTTCAATGGACCCAAGTCTTCGCCAAGGAGATTCCTGTTGAATCAAGGATCAAACAAGATTGCACATAAAACTGTTGATATTCAAATATTCCAACTAGGAACAGTTATAAATAAAAATACAGTACCTCTGTGTTCGTTGAAGTTCCTCATATCTAGCTTTCAGTTTTATGTACTCCCTATAGCTGATCTGCAACAGCAAACAATAGCAAGTGAAACTATAATCCGAATCTGTATGATCTAAAGGTGCAAACAATAAAAAGAACAAACGTCAGATACTCATCAAACAGTTTATGAACATTGCCAAAATCACTCACCTCAAGCTCCTTGGTTGGCTTGTTAACTTCCACTGCACCATAACTGCATTTCTGATATCTATCAAGTGTCTTGAGCATGCTGAGGGGAAAGCAAAAGCGAAAAGGACTTTTTCATGATGCTAAATTGTACACGGAATAGTTTATCTTTGCATTGAAATATTCAACTTCATTTACACACGTAGTTTATCAGTATTACATCTTGGATAATACTAGTAAACTTTTACGTTTTTTTTCCCAGAAGTACTTCTTGTACAAGTGCGATCAAAATGCACAATCTGGCGCAGCATATCATATTATCATCTACAAAAACTTAATGATTTGCATGAATCTGGTTAGCAACATGAACAAAAACATACCCCCCAAGTCTTCTATTTCAGTACTTAAAAAAAACTAGAGGAATTCAATCCATTTTTTATCATAAAATCAACTTCGCATGCATCCAATGCTACATTCAAAGTACTCGAGCTACCAAATTTCTAGTTTTATCAAAGGATTTAAAAGAAGAATATAAAAATCCGTTGAGGAATCATCGTGTGGGCATTTCAAGACATGACACTCTAGCGACCAATGGTAATGTAACCCTACTGAGGAAATGACATTTTGTATCCGCCAGTGTTTAAAATCTTCTTTCGAAGTACTGCTAGTAAAACAAATTTAACTCCATTGCAGAAAGAGACTGATCAGTCAAAAGTTTAACTCAACTTACAAAGAAATAGCTGAATATTCTTACTCGATTTCTTATATTATGGACATGTACGAAATTATGCTGGTTAAACTTCACCCTAATAGCCAGTAATGAAATGCTGTGTTATTAAAGGACCCCGTAAATTAAAGGAGATCACTTTATCAGTAAGAATCTCATTTTTCACGAATGGAACTTGATTCATGTGGACAAAGAAACATCCGTAGGAATAATAAAGGAGACATGCTGTTTATATTTCCTAGCTCGATCGATCAGCCATGAAGAAGGACTAGAGTTCTACACCTTAACTTGTAAACAGTTTCTAGAAGAAGAGAAAACCTAGGAAAAAAGCGTCATCTTCTTTATTTTTTGTAGACATCGATTGAATAAAAATCCTCATTTTGTTGCTTAAGATGAAAATTTTTAGTTTATTCATCATATGAAACTTCAGAAAAATATCAACTATTATAAGAAAATAAACAATCGAAAACCATGAATCCAACTCAGATCTTAAATAAACCACACAAAAAAACCTAGACCCGAAGCTAAAAATAATAGAAAAAATGAACGATCAGAGGTTCATAACCAGATTACTAGAAACAAGCAAAAAGTTGGAAAATTATAACCTAATGAACCTCCTAAATCCTCAAGGAAAGAGAGTACTCGAAGGAAACTCAAACAAATTAAGCTTAAATAAAAAAAACAAGTTCAAAATCTACATAAAAAAGCAGAACAAATCAACAGATCCACGAATCAAAACAACAACAAAAAGGAGAGGATGAGGAAAGAAGAGAGACGAAAGAGAGAGATCAGAAAAGGGTTGATACCTAGAGCTGCTACAGAACTCATAGAGCTTGCCACGGTTAGAGAAAACGATAAGAGCAACCTCAGCATCACATAGAACTGAGAGCTCATAAGCTTTCTTGAGCAACCCATTTCTTCTCTTTGCAAATGTTACTTGTCTATTTATCTTGTTCTCTATCCTCTTCAACTCTACTCTTCCTCTCCCCATAATCTTCCTTAAAAAACCTTTTTTTTTCCTTGCTATATTTATACTAACCACACACTCCTATAACTTTAGATTATCTACTCTCTCTCTCTGTATATAATTGTTTCTTCTTTTGCTAAAATTATGTTGTTTTTCTTGGTTCTTCGGAAGCAGGCAGCTGCTGGTTGAAGGGTTGGTTTTGGTTTTGCTAAGTCAGGATCTCAGGTCCCAAAGTGTAACCAAATTTGTGAAAAACAAAGAGAGAAAAAGAAAATAAAATAAAAGTAGGGTTATTGACACCCTTTCAAGAAAAAGCAAAAATAATAGCAAGAGAGAAAGAGAAAGAAAACGAGAGAAAAATTGCTTGAATTATTCAGTTCCTTGTAACTTTGTTTCTTCACCTGTTTCAGCTTTCTAACCCCAAGGTTTTCATTTAAGAGATTATTCTTTTTTTTCCTTTTAAAAACGATAATTATCGTGTTGTTCTAGGGTTGTTTTTCTTTCCTCGTTTCGTATAATCTCTGCAAAATTTTGTTGTTCCTGTTTTGAGCAAGAGTTTTTTCACATTCTCAGTTTTAGCGTTTGATTAGACGCTCCTAAGAACTGAGTGAGTGGATGGGATAATTTCACACTTGCTATTTTTAACTAACAATACTAGGCAGTGTTATTGAAAAATAAAAATATAATATAATAAAATTATAATTTAAAAATGAAATTCTATAAATATTAATATAGAATAATCACATTAACAGGATGGACAGAGGGGTGAGTGGGGGCAGTCGTCCCTTGAAAATTTAAAATCACTATATATTTTCTATGTATTTCATATTAAAAATCTGTTTTGCCCCCTAAAATTTTGGTTCATCCCCTTAAATTTAAGTTCCCCTCTAACATAAAATATTGCATCCGTCCATGCACATTAATATGTTTTTTTTAAATTGTCAAATAATATAAATTAATCATTATATAGAAAAAATATAATTATATAAGAAATGATTAAAAATTCAACTAAACAACTCGATAAAACAGAAGTAAATAAATATAACGACGATGTACGTTAATAACTAACTTTATTACAATTCAAGTTTCATCTATTTACAGTGACGAATCCAAAAAAAATTATAGACTTGGTCAATATAAACATAATAAAAATGTTATCTAAAAAAATTCATATATATATTTTAATCATCACCGTAAAAAATAATAATAATGTTAACATGATATTTTTTTAATTATTTTTTAATCACGACATGACATTATTTTACGATGATATATCAACGTTAATTTTTTAAAGATAAGAGACTAAAATATAATTAAAATGTAACATTAATTGTGATTTAAAATAAAAATTAATTGAGTGATTAAAATAAAAATTAAATAATAAATAATTTACCCTTTTTGGGCATAGAGGCGGTGGCCTAGATAGGCTTAGGCCTAGACACGTCTTGCCTATCTATGTGTGTATACCTATCAATATGAGAGAATCATGATACAAATTAAAGCTAGATCACTAAGATAATTAAATAAATATCAACTTGATAAATAACGTTAAATCTTTATGTTACCATAACATTGAAAATGTGCTATAAAATTATTATTCAAAAAATTCCACCATTTTTATTAAAAATAAATATTATTAAATAATTAATACAAAAGTTTAAATATTAAAACAAAAAATTATAAAATGAAAAAGAAAGAAGAGAAAAACATAATAATATGGCGACAGGCAGTCAGACTAGCATTCGACCCCTCAAATGGGTTCTTTCAAATTTTCTTTAATTATTTTTAGTCAAGTTTTATTTTATTTCATTTTAAGATTTCATTAAGGTTATGTTTGTTTCACGTAAAATATTTTTCAAAAAATAATTTTCTTATTTTTCAGTGTTTGGTTGGAGGAAAACTGATTGGTCAACGTATAACATTTTTCTGGTCAATAGAATTTCCTTTGCATTTTTTGGAAAAATACTTATGGTCTGATTTTCCGTAAGTCATTTTCTGAATTTTTCATTTCAACGAATAAATACTCAAAATAATTTTGTTTTACTAATTCGATATTAATATAATATTTTAATATCATTTTAATCAAAATATTAATTATTAAAAATTTTAAAATATATTTATTTATATTTTTAATAATATAATATAATATTTTTATTTTAATAATATATAACAAAAAAATTGTATTATTTATTAATGTCATAGAAATAATACTATCAAATTATTAATAATGAATAATACTATTTATATATTTAATATTAATATAACAATCTCATAATATTTTAACAAATATATTTAAAATATATTAATTAATATTTTTTTAAATATAATATAATATTATTATTTTAATAAATAATTAATATAATTTATAATATTTTATTTCAATAAAATATACTAATCTTAATATTTTTATTAATAAAATTATAGAAATAATCTTTTAATAATAAATAAATAAATAAATTATTATAATATTTTAAAAATAATAATATTAAGTTTTTTTGATAAATATTATTATTTATTATAGAAATTAATCATCAACTATCGAAAAAAATGTTTATACAATCTCTTCCAAATACCGTGAAACATTTTTTTAAAAAAAATTTCATAAAATAAATTATATTTTTTTTAAAATATTTTCCAAAAAATATTTTCAGTGAATTGAAGGGATCCTAAGTCTAGACTTTAAAGGTGAGCATCGACAGTAAAAAATTTAAAGGATTTTAATAATTATTTTAAGGAAACATGAAGAAGAAGACATTTGACTCACCTAAGTTATTGGTATTGATAAGTTAAAGGTTTTTCATTGGAAGTTTAGAGAATTATTCTTAAATGTAAAATTTAAACAGTAAAAAAAATTAGAAAATAATTTGTAAATTTTCAGACGATAAGAAGTTGTACCAACAAAATTTTATTTTGGATTTCTCTTTGACCGTAAAATAAATTACATTGATAAAACTGATTTCCAGCAACCAAAAATTTAAGAAAATAAAAGCAAATTATAAACATAACCTTGAAATAATGCCAAAATTATAAAATATTGGGTGTGGTGTCACGCGGCAAGTCAGAGCGTGATGAGAAAGCTCATTTTGTTTTGATGGCTACTTTTCTCTGTCAAATTCTAGTTGTGTTCAGATGTATCAGAAAGTCGTCATCTACCTTGATATGAATTTACACGTGTCAGATAGTGGTTGGTTTCTAATCTTTTTACTTTCTTACTCTTTTGTCCCTACTAGCGCCATTAAATTACAAAGATGTTGGAATGCTTTGGTTAAAAGTTGACTAATAGAATAAATATTTGATCAGAAAATGTTGGAATAAAGAAGGGTAAACTGTATGAACTGGTCATTTAAGTATCAGTAAGTTTTTGCTTTTAACCCTGAAGTTATAAAAGTAATAAAACCGTCATTAACATTATAATTTTGTCATAAATCACTTGACCGTTATTGTCGTCATTGTAATCACAAAAATTTGATGTGACACATTTAGTGGCTAAATTTGTATTATTTGATCATGTTAGTATCTTTTGACTACTACTTTAATAGAAGATAAATCTCACTTAATAAGAAAATCACTATATAAAATGATTACATTTAGGTATGAATGCAGATAGACCCCAATTAGTCATATAAACAACCAATAAAAAGGTGAGCATCAATTTTTCAAAAAAGAACTCTGTGCAACTAATCATCAATACCCTCTAAATTTAATGAATCAACTCTATCTGTAGTCTTATCTCGACAGTTGAAGAATCTTGTGCTCACTGGTTTAAATCTTTTCAGACACAGTAAGTGAGCTCCATTTCGAAGCTCAACATGACAGATGAGAGACTTGCCTCTGCCTGTAAGATTTTCATCACTTGTTTCTCCTAGTCTTTTACCTCAATATTTTTAATTAAATTAGATTGTAAAACACGTGTTAAAAGTGCCTGAATCTTGGTTTTCGACCAAACCAAATTTCTCGGATCCGGTTCGAAAGTTTTACAAGGATTACTTACTTGTCATAACACGTGTTACAATTCTATTGGCGGCCGAAGAAAATACCAGTGAATATGAGAATATCAGGGGCCGTACGAATCGTAATAAGGCGCAGAGAGTTAAAAACCAATGAGAGCCACGTGGCAGTTTTTGACGGCAGGCAATAGTGGCTTTCAGAACTAATGATTTTGTTCTTAAAAAGCTTTATATTGTTAGGGTAAAATTATTCTAAAACATTTTATCGGGTTTTTTATTAAAAAATAATTTTTATTAGTATAATACAGCACTAAATATTGTGTTTATGAAATTACCGAAACACATCAACAAAATGAGAGAAAATCATGAACGAAAAGCTGCAAAAAAAAAAATGAAAGTGGAGAAACGACACATGAATGACACAATGCTAATTTTAGTATTCTGATCAGCTCCACCTTTTAACACTTTAGTTCAGCTTCACTTTTGCACACCATGTCAATCTCAACCTCATTCAGAAGGTAGCAAAGATAATAAAGATTACGTGTAATAGTCTTAATATATAATTAAATAAAAATATTATCGGTTTTGTTATTATTTTTTAGTAAAATAGGTAAAAAGTTATCGGAAATATTATTATTTTTATCAATTTTATTATTATTGGTCGTTTTAGTTATTTTTTCTATTAGTTTTATTATTATTATGTACTTTACTGGAAATATTAAAAAATATTAATGTTTTAAATAATAATAATAATAATAATATTTTAAATAATTTTTTTCCTATTTTATTAAAAAAATAATAACAAAACTAGTAATGATTTTTTCTAATCATATATTAAGGCCGCTGTATTATAGAATTTCCCAGTACGTGGGATCAAAGCCAAAACCTAAAGTTGTCATTGATTATCAAAATGATGGCAATTTTGGAGGGCGTTTTTACCAAAAAAAAATCATTCAAATATTATAATATAATATTTCAGATATTATTTTTTAAATTTTAAAAATTTTGCACTTTTTTTGATAAGGGGATCAAAGGTATGTCTTTTGGAGTGCGTTTTTTTAGGAGAAATAGTGACAATAGTTTATAAGTAAATTCATTAGATATATAGATAAAAAAGTTAAAAAATGTATCTTTTAATTTTTATCTCACATTATACAGAAACATAATCTAAACACTCTAATATGTCTATATAAATTAACAACATTAAGCTCTTTAACTCATGGAACTAATATGTTTTAGATTATGTTGTTAGTCCTATAGTTTTATTTTTCAATTCCATGTGGTGCCAACTTCTCATTATCACTTTGTCAAAAAAAAAAGTACTAGATCGGTAAAATTTAGAGAAATAATATCTGATAATTAATATTATAATATTTGGTTTTTTTTTTGGGTAAAGACGCCAATTTTGGAGAGTTTAGATTCAATGCACCCTACAAAAGCTAATAAAAAAGTCTCATCATTCCACAATCAATAAATACATATATACTTTAAAGGAAAATGAAAATTTAAGAGATATATATATATATATATATATCATAATTTACATCGAGTTTGTTCGAGTGCTAACAAACAATAAACAAGAAAACAAAGGGGTGCTAACCAAAGGAGTGGGCACAATAACTTAGTGGCAGATTTGCATATCCACTCAGCGAAAATGATCTTCTTGCGAGAATTCAGTAAAAGAAAGCTTGAAATCGATAAGCTTCTAAAATACAGATGAATGTGAGCTGTCCATTCTTCAACGGTGGCTTGGTACTTTTGGCATGTGATTAGAATCGAATTCAGCATAAGAAAGAGTTATAATTAAGAGGATAATAATCATGCCATAATCATTTATGCATCTTTATTAGTCAAGGAGGAGATGTTATAATTAAGACGAGTAAAACTAATCGAAAACAAACAGATGTACAAGTGGGATTACCAAATTTTTTCCATTCAATCATTCATGTCCAACGCCAGTGGCCATCACATACCCCAATAAAAGCGACTGGATTCATAAGACATCATCATCATAACATTAAGATTCGATATATAAAACCAGTATAAATAGGAATGATTGTCACAAATCCCCTTCCACAAGTGGATTTACAGAATCCAGTGTACATACAATGGGATTAGGGAGACAACTAATGATCATATATTGAACACGGGCACGAGTAAAAACGGCTTCCGTGGCCTGTTCGAGAATCAACTAGTAGATGATTTAGAGCAATCAGGACAGCTGAAGTGACCTATAGCTTGACATTTTGTACATCCAACAGATTTTACCTTAAATTCCTCGGACTGATACATATTATCGATGAGGTTAAAGCTTAATGATCCAATTGCTTTGATTAGTCCAGTTCCACTGCATCTCAAGCATGCTATCACGTGTAGACCACCACATCTCTTGCACAAGCCCAATGAACTGCAAGTTTAACAGGTTGCATATCAGCTCGTGCACCGTATTAACAACGATGCTAACCTTGCAGATTACAGCAGCCAATTAAACATATCCCAGAAGTTCTCTTTTTCTATGAAAGTTGAATAGAAGTGGGGAACCTCATGATATAGATAAGACGTGTTACCTACCTTAATACAATAATGTGCAACTTAGTTTAGAAAGAAATCGATTTAGTTCATTCACTCGACAATGATTCTAGAGCTTTATCCACTACCCCCAAAGCAGTCCTAGCTTAATAATTATCATCAGAAAAAACAAAAAGGTGACCTTTATATGTGTCGTAACCGGTTTTCGTCCGGGCACGAAATTTTACTTGGCGGGAAAAGTAATATGAATAAATGATTTTTATTAAAATGTTATGGGAGTCGCCATCGGCCTTTTGGATTAGGTAGGTCGAATACCTAAAAATCATCTTTTAAAAGAGTTTTTAAGAAAACAGCAGTTAAAAGATAAACTGGTCTACGTTTAACCAAAAATTCGTTCTTTTTAATAATAAAAAGGGATTTGTGGTCGGTTACGTTTGGGGAAGGATTAACACCCCCACAACGCCCAAAATTGGTCCCTGTTGATTATAAATTGTCTCTAATAATAGAATTTAAGAATTCGAATATAAATTTAATTTATGATCTTTTCATATTCAATGGATAATAAGGAAGAAAAATATTAAAATAATTTTTATAAATTATAAATAAAGTATTTATTTATTTAAAAATATTAGAAAATGACTTCTAGTTGCTTTAAAATAGCCAATTTCTTTAATATTAATAAATAAATAAATATTAATAAGAATATAATATTTTTTCTTAAAAATGAAGTAAATATATATATATATATATATATATATATTTATAAGCAAAATATTTATTTATTTTTAAAATACCAGAATAGGACGTCTAGTTATTTTAAGACCGCCCTTTCTTAATATTTAAAAATAAATAAATATTATTATTTAATTAATTTGTGAAATTAATTAAATAATACTTATTAATCTTTCATATATATATATACATATATTAATATGACTAAAATTAAATAAATATAAAAGGAAGAAAAATATAATAATTTGAATAAAACTAAAATAACTATATATTTATATATTTGTTTAAATACAATATTTATTTATTTAAAAAAATATCAGAATATGACTTCTAGTTGCTTTAAGACAACTCATTTCTTTGATATTAAAATTAAATAAATATTAAGAAGAATATAATAATTAAAAATAATAAAAATGAAGTAAGTATATATATTTTTATAAATAAGATATTTATTTATTTTTTAAAATACCAGAATAGGACGTCTAGTTATTTTAAGACCGCCCTTTCTTAATATTTAAAAATAAATAAACATTATCATTTAATCAAATATATATATTTATACGAATAAAATAATAATTATTAATTTGAACATATTGAAATTAAAAAGGTAAAAAATTAAAATTTATCATTAAATAATGACTAAAATAAAAGAAATTAAAACTATGAGATTAAAATGTAAAATATTAAAATTCATGGTCAAAAATGAAAAGAATTAAGAAATCAGTAACTAAAATATAAAATATAAAACCTAAAGGTCCTAATTCGAATTATTAAAAAGATATATACTAACAGTGTAATTTAGCCTTAATTAATTATTTCGGGGTTAAAATATAAATTATAAAAATTATAAGGGACTAAATATGGTATTTACCCTAAATATATACAAGTAAGGACTAAATTATAAATAAAATAAAATTAGAAGACCGAACTGAAATGATTAGAAATTGATTGTAGTGACTAAATTGAAAAAGTATAAATTACAGGGACTTCGGACGAGGTTTCCCCATTATTAAATTTGCACAGAGGTCCCTCTCCAAAACGACGTAGTTTTGGAGAGGGTACAAATAGGTCATTTAACCTCTTTTTTCTCCTTTCTCTTTTTGGCTCTCTCTCTCCCTTCTCTCTAGCTTTCCCTCATCGGAGGAAGAGCCGATCACCGGCCGGTCACCGTTCGCTGGCGCTTCGAAATTTTACAAAATTACCCAAAAAAAATCCTTTTTCACTTCTAAAGCCGATTATGGCCTCCCCTTGTTCTAAAAATCCCCCAAACTTCGTAAATCTAAGTTTTTACCTTCTGTTTTTCGATAGTTTCCTGGCGATTTGGATGCTCCGACGAGGGTAAGGTACTCGGTATATTCACTCTATTTTATTTTATTTTTTGTTTGATTGCTCTGCCTGCCCCCTTTGCTTCATTGATGGGGCTTTTTATAGGCTTTTTCGTACACCCTTTTGGACTGGTTAAAGGAGGGTAACCCGGTGAGTCACCGGCCAAAAGAGGTGATGGAAGCCATTAGAACTGGGACATGGAGGGGCAGCTGTCTCGGCTTGCTGGAGGCTGCTGGAATAGGGAGGTAAAAATGGTGATTACAATATACATTCCACTCTAGACATCCAAGCTTTTCCTCAAATAAATAATATTGGTAATGCTCAATCCCACATAGTGTTGGAAACACTATTGGGAAAGGTATTTAAGGCTTGACATTCCACTTCCTTGTTGAGTGATAGAGAACAAGGGGGGCTCTCGCGCACCGCCGTCGCCGTCCGTCCGTCTTGTCTCGTCTCGGCTCGGCACGGCTCGGCTCGGCTCGGCTCGTGGTCATGGTCGAGGTCGAGGTCGTGGCCGTGGTAATACGTGTCTTCGACACGTCCGCGCGGATACTATCTTTTTAGAGAAAATTCTTGAGGAATTTCTCTTTGAAAGAAACAAATGAAAAATATGAAAGATATCAACTGATATTTATAGGCTGCTGAGGACTGTTTGAATTTCAAATAATAACAGCTGAATTATTTGTTATCAGAAATTAAACAGTTTATTCCTAAATTAAATCAGAAACGTTAAGATGTACCTGGACTGATTTACAGCTTTGTACAGAGGAGACAAACTGTTAATATCAGGAGTTACAGGAGTTATTTGATTTAATTCCAGGGGTTACATGATATAATTTTGGGAGTTATAACAGCTGAATAATGATACAATGAACCTGGACTATTTCTGAGTCAGGTTCATCTAGACGTTTCAGCTGTTACAAATAAGAGGTTTAATCCTGAAATTTTATGGACAATTTTAACCCTATTTCTAGCCTATAAATAGAGAGCTATATTCAGCTTATCAACTCACTCCAAATTCACAATTCACTTACAAAGTGTTTTCTAAAGTTCTCTCTGTGAGTTCTCTGAGTGCTTTCCGATCAGAAGTGCAATACCACCAGCAGTCCACTCCGGTTTCGGGTGTACGGAATTCGGAGCGACCGTGTTAACCTCGGGGGACGGTCTGCCTACTGCAGCGATTACACACATCGAGGCGAATTCATTTCTAAGGCAGTGGTTCTTACCACGACACGGTTTACGAATCTGTTCTTCTTAATTACTATTTATATTTTCAGTCAGTGCTAACGGTGTAGTTTTGCAGTTCATATATCCAACAATTTAGAAACGAATTTCCATAAACTGTAATCATGTCGACACCTTTGAGCAAACTCATTCCCGATCTTTCCAAGCTCGATGCACTTGATGGAAAGAACTATAGAAGGTAGTCCTAAAGAATTCTGATATTCTTCGAGCAACTTGATCTTGATTATGTGTTACTCAAGCCACCACCTACCATGCCGCCAACCCCAGCTGTCGGTGATAATGTCGATGCGGTCCTCAATGATGATGTCTTAGCAACTGCCGCCGCCGCTCTCGCTACCTACGAGAAATACGAGAAGGACAACAAGACGGTACGAGGACATCTGCTCAGCCACATGTCAAATAAACTATTTGATATGTTCCTTAGAGAAAGGAGTGCCAAGGCAATATGGGACACTCTCGACAAGAAGTATGGTGCGGATGATGCGGGGATCAAGAAGTACGTTGTCGGCGAATGGCTCAAATTCCAGATGACAGACGACAAGCCAATAATGGATCAAGTCCATGACTATGAGAACTTAGTCGCTGACATCATCGCTGAAGGGATGCAAATGTGTGAGGTGCTGCAAGCCAATGTACTCATTGAGAAGCTGCCCAAGTCCTGGTCCGACTACCGCAACTCTCTTAAGCATAAGAAGAGAGACATTTCGCTTGAAGAACTTGTGGGCCATATGAAGATTGAAGAAGCCAACCGTTTAAAAGATAAGCTTACTAATTCTATGAGTAATTTATCTTTTAGAGCTAACTTGGTTGAGTCTAAATTTAAGAAGATCATGAAACGTGGGAATCAAGACAAAAAGACGAAACCACAGAAGGCTACCAACTTCAAGAAGTCAGGAAAGGCCAAACCGAAAGGAAAGAAGTTCAAGTGTTATATCTGCGGTTTACCTGGCCACAAAGCTTACCAATACCAACACCGCTCAGACCGCCAGAATGACAACAAGCCACATATGCACGTTGTAGAAGAAGATGATGAGATCATTGCTGCGGTGGTCTCAGAAGTTAATCTGGTGGAGAACAGTTAAGAATGGGTAGTTGACACTGGTGCTTCGAAGCATTTTTGCGCAAGGAAGGAGTTTTTCACCGAGTTCGAGGATGAGAACACTGGTGAACGTGTGTACATGGGGAACTCTAGCAGCTCTGAAGTGCTAGGCAAAGGCAAGGTTTTACTCAAGCTGACTTCTGGTAAAACTCTGGCTTTAAATAATGTTCTGTATATACCTGCCTTGCGTAGAAATTTGATAAGTGGTGGGCTTCTGAATAAGACAGGCATTAAGTTAGTTTTTGAGGCAGATAAACTTGTACTTTCCCAAAATGGTGATTATGTGGGGAAAGGGTTTTTAAGCAATGGTTTATTTGTCATAGAAACTCAATTTAATGAAAATAAAGCTACCACTTCTGCTTATATTGTTGAATCCATTGATATGTGGCATGCTAGATTAGGACACGTGAATATTCATGCTTTAAAGAAATTAATGAATATGAATGTTCTGCCTAAACTAGACACAACTAGCTTTA